AACAGAGGCCTGGGCTTTATTGTCATGGATGGATCATAGCACAGCTTCCTATATAAAATTGTCAAAAAAAAATAAAATTCTTTCAAAAAGAAATTAAAGACATGTACACAGTACTATCCAAATTGGGATTTAAAAACTTATTTTTAAGAAAAACTGTTTTCCTAAAGCCATATGAAAAAAAACCCCTGACTTCTTGCAGTGCCTTCAGGACCAAGATGTATTTTGGGTAATATATGATGAAACTAACACTAACACTAGCATGAGAACATCAAGAGACAAACTGAAAGCTAATTTCTGAGATGTAGTAGCCATATGTATTAATCATTTTCTTAGTCTGCACACATCTTCTTGTGCAGATGAATATCCTGTGTGAAGAATGGGCCATCCCAAAGACCCTCTGGGTGGTTCTTGCTGCAGAATTGATCAAACTATACAAGATAACATACTTGAAAATAGTCAGTAGAAAGTAGAAAGCTGTTGAAATTATTGTGTAGGGCAATCTTATACAGATAGAATATCTAGGATATGCTTCTTACTTGGTTTAAGGTACTCAGTGATGGATCATGCCCATGCTAAAGCAGTCCAACCAGGACCATGGTTCAGCTGACTATAACAACTGAACAGAACAGCACTTTGGGGAGCATCTTCTGATCCAATTGAAGGTGCTGCTGGAAGGACCCTTGCAACAGAGACTCTCTCTGTTTTATTATCACCCAGACTGCAACCAGCCTGCTTGTTTATGAAATTTGGTTTTCCCACCCTATGCCAGAATCCATCAGTGTCTGTGCTTCTCTGCCCTTCTCCAACAGCAAGTCAAAGTCAGTCTAAGCCTAGATTGTGTAAAATATCAGCTAAATGTGAACAGGCTGGCTCAGCCTGAAAGAAGTGCAGTTGTGTTAATAAGGTGTTTTCCCTTGCTCAGACAGGAGAACAGACCTGGGGGAGTACTATGCTAACACAATTAAAGCACTTCCAACACCTATGCTGGCTGCTTAGAGGTAGCTTGAGAATTTTTTTCAATATAGTTATTCTCTCTGGGACATTAGAAAAGTAGGGTTACATTTTCTTGCTTTTCTTGCTTGCAGGAATTTTTCCTTTCTTTTTGCACATAGATTTTTACAACTTTAGCTTCAAAGAAGCAGGACTACAAGGGAAAAAGATGAGAGCAGATTTAGTCTACCTAAATTAACTTTATTCCTGTTCTTCCCTAAAAAGGCAATTATTATCTTCCTAACACCATCTCAATAACATAAAATGATTTATCTTGATAAACCCTTCTTCATATGAAAGTATAAAGATAGAAAGGTTTATCAGTTTTGGTACTCTTATATTTCAATTACTTTTATTGATATATTTCTTCTAATTCTGTATCTTTAACTCCATATTACTCATGGCAGTATCTTGCCGAAGAAAACAGGCCAAGACCTCTGTGCTTAAAGACAAGAATCTTGGTTAATTTAGTGCAGTGATAGGCTTGGATAAAGACTGTTTATTCTTTGGAGCTAACTTCTTCCCCTAAATTTAAGACTGCAGAGTGTTATGATAGGGGTTGGTTACAAGGACTACTGTGAGCCTCTTTCTGTGATATTATCATTAATGTCAGTGCTGTGTTTAACTCCCATGTAAATTTGCAATCAGTGAAAAGGGACAATCTTATTTTATACGTTTTGTATATAAAAACGTTTTGAAACCCTAACCTTGGTTGGAACCCCCATATAAAATTAGAATAGCATAAAAACTAGTAAGTATGATAAAAGTACAACGACAATGAGGGCAAATCACTGTGCCATACCTTAGATCTCCAAGAAAGTGTCATATCCCTGTGTCTGTTACAGCATTGTTTTTAAGTTATTCTACCTACCTTATGCTATTTATTGAATACCCTTCTTTAACAAGGGGGAGAAATGTTCCACATGTTATGACTATATTCCAAGTGATCTTCAGTTTCACTACAGTGCTTTCTCATATAAGAAAGTAATTTCTGCTCTGGATTAATAAAAAAAGAACAAAATAGTCTGCCTATTTTCTATCTTCAGCAAATTTTCCAGAAACAGCCTTGAGTTACTCAGGTCAGAGTCCCTAACCTTCCCTTTCTCACTAAAGATCATGAAGCAAAAGGGAATGGCAAGGAACTCTCACCTTTGGGGTAAATAAAGCAACTTTGCTGTCAGGTGGCAAGTTGCTCTATCCAGCTGGAAAGATATGACTAAAAAGGAAAATAGAAATCGGTGTGAAAGATATTGGAAGGTGAGTCCTTACCCTTGAGGACCTGGTCTTCATGGAAAAGCCTGGCAGTGGGGGATCTCTTCTTTAAAAAATAACGCTTATGCAATTGCTATGCAAAAGAAAAAGCTCAAAAGTTTTCAAAACAAAAAAAAGACAGCACAAACCAAAAGCAGCCAAGGGGTCCATGAATCAATAACTTTACAGCAAGTTTCACTCAGAGAAGGTGGGTGCTGAGGAGCTTCATTTATCCATGGCTCTGGGGAGCTTCCAGCTCCTTGTAAGACCAGGATGCATACAGAGAGGGAGAATAGGGTGGAGCTCCCTTTATCCAGGATTGTAAAGATTTTCCAGGTGCCTGTAGAACTCTGATAATGTACAGACTGGGACTGTGTGTGTTTTCTTATCCTTAGGTCAATATCCTTTCAGAAACTTGCAACATTCTCCAGTGGGGTGTCAGAGGAGGTAGAGGGTAGGTGAGTGCCATGGTCTGGTTTTACCCCTGCCCAGGCACCCAGATGTATGAGACAGGAGAAGCAACAAAGGAGAAGCAGCCACTCCCCATTGCCATGGGCATCAGCTCCTGCCAGCCCAGGCAGCCATCCTGGGCCTCCCCTGTCACCCATGCCCCTGTGACACAGCCACCACCAGCATTCTACCTGCTGTGACAGCCAGGCATCAAAAGGTTTGGTGTCTGCAGTTAGTGCTGCATCACTGTGACATGGCTATTATTTTTCACTGTTCAGGGGAGAAAAAAAGTGATGAATAATAATTATAGTAAAATCTGAGCAACTAGTAGTGCTAGGGGAGGAAAATAAAGTAGCTGTAACAAAAAAGTAAAGGACAACAGCTCAGCAAAGGAAGAAAGAGAATTAAAAGAAGTAGGTCCTACCTACTGTTCACTTTTGAAAATTTATTGGGTATTTGTTGTTGAGACTTGTAGATTTGAACACTAAATGTTGGAAGAATGATGCTTGTCAAGTTGACTGAAAGTCAATAGTTTACAGTTTTCAAATTAAAGACATGTCCAACACCAAACCTGTGTCTAGGAGAGGATGACACTGCTGAGGAGGTTTCATCATACAATTTTATTTCTTTCCCAGAAACAAACCAATGATTTTGACAGAGACTTTCATCTTAAGGCATCACTACATACTTCAGATAGACACCTAAATTAAATACATGAATTAGCTTCCACCTACTTGATTCAATGCAGGACATTACACTATCTTTAATTGACAGGACAAGAGGCAATGGGTGAAAACTGCAATGGGAGGTTTCATCTAAAAAAAAATAAACCTTTTTGCACTGTGAGAGTGACTGATCACTGGCACAAGTTGCCAGAGAGGTTTTAGAGCTTCCATCCTTGGAGATATTAAAATAAAATCTGGTCATGGTACTGGGCAACCTGCTCTAAGTGAACCTGCTTGAGAAGGGGGTTAGACCTGATGAACTCCAGAGGTTCCTTCCAACTTCAACTGTTTAATAATTCTGTGGTCTTTGGTTCATTATAATAATTTCTTTCCCCATATGTAATTCCTCCTTAATCATTTTAGTTTGACAATTGTTTAAGTAAAATTGGGAGCAAGGGAAACTGCTTATGTACAGAAGTGAGATGACCTCTAAGTAATCAAGTTCAACTGCAAATTATAATAAACTTCCATAGAAATATGACACATTCTTTAAAAGCTTCAACTTCCATGTTTGCCAGCAGTACCTACTGTTGACATTCAATGACAGGCAAGCAGGGAAGTGGGTGGAAATTACAGGATCCTGTTGGTTAGAGATAGGGTAGAGGAATATTTAAAACATACTCTCAGACACCCTTAAGGACACAGCATCCAGCTCACTCAGCTGGTGTATAGAATATTTCTAGCTGGTCTTTATGCCTTTCCCTGCTGTGTTTAACATTGACCTGAGAGCAGACACTGTTGGAAAGGTTATCTCAGCTTCTCCTTTCATCATTATTTTGTATCCTTTGCTTCCAGGATGCCTTGTCTAACCATGCCCAAACAAATGCTGGTTTTCAAGATGCTCCAGGTATTTTGGCTGATATTGACTGGACTGTACTTTATACATTCTACACTAAACAAGGCCAAAAAATGCATTAAAAAAATCACTTGTTGCTGTTAGCTACTTGTTGCTGTTAGCTGTGTAATGGTTTCACAGTAGATCCTGAGAACTCATGAGATCAGGTGAGGAAGCGTGGTGCTTCCCTTCCAATGGCTGTGATGAATTTGTGATGATCACTTGTCACATTGTCAGCGGCAGCATAAAATAATCAGATGTTTCATCTCCCAGCAAGAATCACACACTTTCATTTTCTGTTTTAGTCAGGTTTTGTTTGTTTGTTTTTGTCAGGATGGGGTAGGACAACTTTTAAAAACAATAACCAAAAGTAAAAATGAGAAAGCAAGAGCCATCCAGTGCATTACTGCCATTCCTTAGCTGCTTCAGTTGTGTTAACTTTATCTGTTGCTGGCATATGCAAACAGTCCCTGGGAATGTGGTTGCTGCTCAGGAAGGAAGGGTTTTGTAAAAAGGCACAGCAGTAATAAAATATGGTAGATGCCTTCAAAGGTGCAGAGAAGTTTGTTTCTGCTATCCCGAGAAACTTATGGTCCCATAGAGTCGATCGCTGCAGAGTTGTACGGGTTGGAGAGAATTTTAAAGCTTGCTTATCAGGGTACCAAAAAAGACAATAGTTTCCAGAAGGGCGAGGGTGGGACAGGATATAAACAAAAATAAAACACAACAGAAACCACAGAAAACTACTGTACAAAGTATTGATCTGTTTATTTTGGCTTTAATTGGATTCTCATTTTCCTTCCAGTCTATGGATGATCTGCCTGTTGGGATAGTTTGAAAGGACTGGCATAGTTATGTCACCAAAGGCTGTGACCTACTTCAATATTCCCTCCTTCCACTCTCCAGAAACTGGTGTTCTTTCAAAGGGAAATGGAAGAGAAATGGGCCTGTCAAGATTTAATGATGCAGAAAACAATAAGAAAAACATGTTTTAATGTGATAGTCTTTGTATTTTACACGGGAAATACAAAAAGGCAAAAGGGATTTAAAAGATCACCTTTAGGGCATCCAGTTCTAAGGTTTCACTAAACACACTGAAAAACAAGCTCTTTGATTATTTTTCTAGCTTCCAGAGAAGCAGCAGTAAAATCATGAGTACCATTATAAGATGTGAGTAAGAAGCAGCACCCAAGGAAATGAAAAAAATATTAGAATTGTTATTATCTAAGCTTACAATAGAAGTATTGCATAGTAGATAAGAACACTGGAAGGATGCTTTTTTCGTATCTTGCATTATATCTTTCTGAACAAAACCCCTCTGTAGACAACAGAAGCTTCTTCTAATAACAAAAATGTTGGCTGAAATGAAATTCTTGACATACCAATCATTCTCAGTAGCAAAGTCATTTTTCATATAAAACATGCTTTGGAGTAGCCTTTAATGAAGGTCTCAAACCAACTCATGTAGCTTATTTTCTCAGGGATGGGAGTATTTAAATTTAATAGAAAATCTACCACAGAGACACCACAAATGTGCCCTGCCAAATCAGATTATGTATTTTTAAAGGACGAAAGGTTTCAGTCTTGCTTCAAACCTATTTGACCACAAAATTATTTTTTTTTAGCTAAAATGGATGATGGTTTTGACTAAAATTAATTGCCTACTGGGAAAACTCCTCCCACTGCACCACAATCAAGGAGAAGGTTTCCAAAATAAACAGGCTTCAGACCAAATGCTGTGAAAGGAGAAACTTTTTCTGCTATAGCTAAAGCTTCTCTCTCATTCTTAAGGGACACTAATAAGCTAACATAGCATAGTTGAGTAACTCCTTACATAATATGTTTCTCATTCTCTGAATTCATTTGCTATTATAACTTAATGGGAAATTTAAAGTGATAATTTAGGAATTAATTTTCTAAGGTCTTCATTTTAGCAGTGGTAAAAGTGAATTTGGTGCATGTTATTTGGAATGCCCTCAAAGTACTGCTTTTCAAGAGTGCAGTCTGCTCATCTGTGTTTTAGTTAAATCATAACTTATAAACCAGAAGTTGACAGAAAGTGTAAAGGGCCATATTAAAGATCATGTCTTTAGGTAAAAAAAAAATCATCAATGGATGAGTTCCCACTTCTTTATAGGCAGGCAGGCAGGCAGGCAGGTAGGAAGGAAGGCAGGAAGGAAGGAAGGCAGAAAGGCAGGAAGGCAGGAAGGAAGGAAGGCAGAAAGGAAGGCAGGAAGGCAGGAAGGCAGGCAGGAAGGCAGGCAGGAAGGCAGGCAGGCAGGCAGGCAGGAAGGCAGGAAGGCAGGAAGGCAGGAAGGCAGGCAGGAAGGCAGGCAGGCAGGAAGGCAGGCAGGCAGGAAGGCAGGAAGGCAGGAAGGAAGGCAGGAAGGCAGGAAGGCAGGCAGGAAGGCAGGAAGGCAGGCAGGAAGGCAGGAAGGCAGGAAGGCAGGAAGGCAGGCAGGAAGGAAGGAAGGCAGGAAGGCAGGAAGGCAGGCAGGCAGGCAGGCAGGAAGGCAGGCAGGAAGGAAGGAAGGCAGGAAGGCAGGCGGGCAGGAAGGAAGGCGGGAAGGCGGGAAGGCGGGAAGGCGGGAAGGCGGGAAGGCGGGAAGGCAGGAAGGCAGGCAGGAAGGCA